TTCTCAGGACAACTACATGACACAGGGCAGTGTCCCCACTATGCAGATGTATAATAGATACAGAGCAACACCAGAAGGTGGGCTGGGAGTTCACATTTCAAAATCTAGCCCACTGGAGACACTGGAACTCCTGTTCTCTTCTGTCGAAAACAGAAATTCAATTGCAACCCCAAAGCAGGTAAGTTTTGGCAATAGTGACAACAGGAGTCCTGGAGCCAAGAGGAAGGACAAAGGTGCACAAATGGCAAAACTGAAGTGACAGCCTGGGAAAAGAGAAAAATGTAGGAGTGAATGAGAAGAAGTGAAATAATTACTCAAGAAGACAGAGGACCCAAAGAGGAAAGTAGAGTCCTCGCTGACTGGTGAAGGGAGGGTGGGCCCTGACTTTAAAACTCACACGGCTTTCTCGGACCTGCCTCCTCCTCTCAGCCATTCTGTCCTTTCCTCCTAAGCCAGCCCATTCCACAGTGCTGTTCCCCAAAGGCCAGTGTGCTCTTCCCTGGTCTCCCCTTCCACTCCACCATCACAGCATAACCATATGTACCATTCCCACCCATGTGCACACAGGGAAAGCTCACGGCTGTCCCTGCATGCCCACGTAGTGGCATTCTAAGTGACATGTGGTAGAAGAACAAGGACCTAAAACCCCCAAGCAGTGATAATTAATCTGAAGGTAACATGGTTTGGGTTCTGAGCTCTGTCAATGAAGAGAATGCCAATCATGATACTCAGCTGGTAGAAAATTACAGGATATTTAGGGGAAAATGTTACTGTCAATGGAGTATATAAATTTTGAGCACTTTTGAAGACATTAACAAGGAAGTCATTTTCAAGACTCAGGCTCATAATACCTAAAAAATATCAGAATCTAGTAGTTTTGGCTCTTCAGAAACCAGGTGGGAGCTTTGGTGGTGGCAATCAGAGCTTACAAAAAAATAAATGCACTAAAACTTGAAGTTCAAGAGCTAACTGGAGCTAAAGCTACCTGGTGTTTGGCTTTTTCTGTCATACACAGAACTTGTCGAGATCATGGTATCAATACTTCATGTTTTATTCACTCTGAAGTATTTCGGACAATGTTAATTGTTTTCAATGATTTAGGAAATATATTTAAGAAATGAATTTATGAAATAGTCTAAAAAAGGGCAGGGAAAAAATTTGCAGAGATTCTCTTTTGTGTCTGGATTCAATTTTTGCTGTGTTCAGATTCTCATCAGTTCTTAATAAGCAATATAAGCCAAAGTTGCAGGCTTGCAGGCCAGGGTGGGAGAAGAATGTGGAGGTGGTAGATTTTCAGGAGAACAGCACAGAGAACTGTGTGGAGGAAGCTCTGGTTATGAATCCTGTAAGTTTATTTCGATGCTGTCTCTCCAAGGGCAGGTTGGGCTACAGGTGGCTGCTTGCCGATTAATGTCAGTTGGTGTGTTACCTGCCCTGAGGATGAAGTTTTCTGGAAAAAAAATGATGAGACCAGAATTAGCCAAGGTTCCTGGGAGCCTCTCCTGTAGGAAGTAGCCTGAGCAGGTGCAGAGAAAGGTCGTTTCCATGGCAGCCGTCACTAGGCACTCTGCCAGGGAGGCTGTCTGGTACTGAGCAGACTACATGCAAGATGTCGGCATCTCCAAACTGCCCTGCTGCAATGCAGGCAGTTCTTGGGCAGCCCTGGGCTTTCATGATGCGAGGCATCAGAGCACTGTAGTCTATCTTCTAGCACTGGGTCTATCTTAGCCTCAGTTCTCTATTCTATAAGGTGGGCATGAAAATACTGTTGTTTTTCTCATAAAACTATAATGCAGGGCAAATGAAACCATTCCCATAAAACACACTGCCAGGCTTATAGCAAGAACTCAGTGGTGTTTAGCTGTTGTTATAAATAATAACTCTGCAGACAAGGACGAATGAAGCAGAGGTGCAGAGAGAAGAAGAAGGAAATGAAGTTCTCCTGCAGTGGAGCATTGCAGAAAATCATCAAGAGACACAGATGAGGAAAGCAACACTTGGAGGAGGTGTCGACGGTGGTGAGAAATAGTCCCGCTTCACCTGCTCTCCTCCTCACGTCGCAGGGCTTTTTGGCATTAAGGGTCACATCCCAGGGTGGCAAGTGCTGAGTGGAAGAGAGCAAGTCAGAAAACTTTCTAGAAGCTGGTTTGTGGCAGTAAGGGATGAGAACTGCATGGAAACTTGGCTGGGAAGCTCACGGCTATCAGTGAACATGTAGGGATAAAGGCAGGGTAAGAGGGGAAACAGGTCCTGACGTCAAATGTTGTTATTAGGAAAGAAACTGAAGCCGGGTCAACTCCAGGTTTCGATCCTAGGGATGTTGTCGATGTCTTTCAAAGGTCCTTAGCGATCAGAAGATCTAGTTTCCACATGCGGGTAAGGGTTGGTATAAATGGGAAGGTTTTATGCTCTGAAGAAGTTATTGCAGGAGGAACCGATTCAGAAGGGCCTGAATGAATATAAATGACATCAGATGTTTGCATTCAATTTTTCTAAGGTGACAGAGAAAAATGCATTTTAATTTGCAGGAAAAATAAGAAGTATAGTTAAATATGCATCTTCAATTGATCTAGAGATAATTCCAAAAGGTTGTGGAGCTAAAACTGATTGAAAAATACCTGATCTGTCAGAATTCACCAGCAGCAGTAATGTCATGTGAAGCAGAAATAAAACGAGACTGTAGAAATGCTTCCACGCCCATCTTATTAACTAAACAAACCTGAGAGCTCAGCAAAGACTGCACTAAAGTTAGTTCCCCATGCTAGACAAAAGAATGATAAGATATATAATTTTCCAAGCTAAAGAAAGAAGGTAAGTAGAAAGAGAAGCTAGTAATATATGAGAACAACTCTTATAAATGAAAAGTCCACAGATGCATACCATATTTTCAGCTATCATTTTGGAAGAAACCTCTATTTTTTAATACCTTTTCTTGCCTTAACTGTCTTGAATTCTGAATTCTATCTCTTTGACACCACTAAATCTCCTTTATCAAAAATCAGTGGACAAATCTGCTTACCTGTGCAGATAATTATGTATTAAATGCACATTTACTATGCACTGTGACATTTTGGGCTCTGATAGATATCGGCTGTTATCATTCCTGCTCTATGCGAGTTTACAATCTGGAGGAAAGGCACATGTACACAGACAGATAAATATACCACGAGGCAGGCAATCAATATTATGAGTTCTGTAAAGATAATGCTTTGGGGATATGATATATGAAGCAAGAGCTGTGAATTCTCATGGGGTGGACTGAAAGGGCTTCGTAGGTGTTTAGGATTTCAGCAGTGAGGGTAGGGTTGTGAGCAGATGCTATAAGTAGAGAGGATCAGGAATGAGCTGGGATGTGTCGAACAAGCATCAGAAAGTGTGGTGGAGGGGCCGGGGATTTAGCTCAGTGGTTCTGCTGCCTGCCTCGCAAGTGCAAGGTCCGAGTTCAATCCCCGGTACAAAAAAATGTGTGCTGTTGGGGAGGGCAGAAGTGTGGAGGAAGCACCTTCCCATTGTGCCAACTTTCGTATATGATGAGTTCTGAATATTACAAAAGTTCTGTTCTCAGCAATGTGGCACAGAGAGACAAATTGTTCTGGAGCAAGATGACAATGGCCCGGACTGGGCCTCTTGTTGAATCTATAATAGACCAAATGGAAAGGAGGCATTGGGGTTGGCAGGCAGTGAGGATGGAGAATCAATGAGGCCAAAGGACCTATTGGGAGTGGGGAATGGGGAAGTGGCTAGGACCAAAGGTTGTTTCATAGTTCCCAGTCTCTTCAGCCTTTCTCTCTCACATGACACTGCTCACTACTCCTGACTTCCAGAAGCTCTCTTCTGTTTCTTGTAATGAGGCAGCACTATCCTGCTTCTTCAGGTCCTGAGCAAAAACCTTAATAAATGACCCTTGGTAAGAAGTTTGGCTCTTCATTCCACACTTATCTCTCCAAAAGATTAAGTGATTTATATGTCTCAGGTCAAGTTTGAGTTAAGTGGTAGATCTTTGAGAGCGTGAGATTTGGCTGAGCTGAGTTCCATTCTGCCCAGCCCCCACCCCTAAGAAAGAGGAAAGAGATTTGGTTGCAGGTGTGTACAGATGTAAGCCTGGGGAATTGAGATGTTCCTAAAACTTTCTTGGCAGGGGAACTTAATGCTTCATTCCAGCAGGCAAAAATAGTTTGAAGTTCATTCCCAAGATAGTGAGTTTTAAATAGAGATTTGATTGGGAATGGTGGACAAATAAATCTTCTTCCCAGGCATCCACATGAAGCACATGTTTGATCCAGCAGACAGCAATGAGTCTTTAAGAGCTGTAATGGCCCATCCTGTCAGAGGGTATTTATGAATTTACAGAGCCTTCAGATATCTGGAACTTGTGCAAGCATGATAAAAGCCCTCTGAAATTTTTGCTCAAATAAATGAGTACTCAGCTAGCTGTGTTTCTTAAATTAAATGACTCAGCCATTGTTCACTTGTAAAATACCCAAGGGTCCTAGGCTACATTTTCAAGAAATGTGCTGCAACATTTCTGTTGGAAGAACAAAGCAGTTTGGGGGCTGTAGGAAATCACTAGCTTCTATTTTTGCTTTTCACACTGCTAACTTAATAAGAAATATGCTGCTGAGTGTAAGTTTTTCTGGCAGGCAGTTCTCAGGTCATATCTCTAGTGACAAACAAGGGTGCTGGGAGCAAAATAGTTTTGTATCTGAAAAGGTGACTTGGGACATAGGTTAATAATATTGGGAACCAAATATTGTTAGACTGATAGATAGGACTCAGAAGCTAGCAGTTGTAGGAATGGAAATATCTCTCGTAGAACTACTACCGAAGGCGCTCTTTTCCAGCAAGTGGTTGAAGACTCTTTTGTTGCCGTCCTGCAAGCCCTCTTCATGGATAAGGACGAAAATTAACAGCTATTCTTTGTATCCTCACAAAATGATTGTTATTACATAAATTCAAAGTACACCCCCTTGTGTTTAACATTTGAGACTAAATATTTTATATCTACAAGGTGTGATAGAAATATTGGCATTTAAATTATTTTAAAATGTATTATAGCAAATAATGCGTTGGCACCAATTCCCCGTAAAACAGTTCCCTTCTCTTCAGAGACACTTCTGCCATCTTTCTCACCACTTTCTGAAGTCGTTCTGGAAGTCCTCTGTAGTCACGCTGTCCTGGCTGCCTCGATGTCCCGAATCAGTTCAGACACTGAATCGATTCAGTTCACTTTCCGTGGTCATTTTGACTTTGAGAAGAACCAGAAGTTGCACGCTTCCAGATCCAGTGGATAAGGTGAGTGAAGAGACACCGTAATGATTTTGACAAACCTGCTTTTCCATTGGAGAGCACTTGGCAGCAGCATTCGCCATAGTTTTTATTAAACCTCACTCGTGACACTCATGACACTCGTGAGAGAACTTCTGGGACTGCCTCAGACAGTGGCAAGAACAATGGGATAAGTGTGTTCAAGTCAGGGGCATTTTAAGGGGGGCTTAATGGCAATGTGTCTTTTACTGTAATAGATATTTTAAAAATAATTAAATATTCACCATATATTTTGACCACCCCTTGTAAGTTGTGGTAAGTAAAGCTGCGTGTGTGTGTGTGTGTTGCTAGGGATCAACAAATCAAAGGCAAGTGTACTACCACAGGACTACCTTTCCAGCCCAAATGAAGCTTCTGACAAGTAACTAGTAGTAGAACACACAACTGTGTCAGAGGACACCCTGGGTCTTCTGTAGGTCATAAACCAAGGTCTTAACTCAACTCAAAATCAGAGACCAAAGATTTTCTGATTTGTGTCAGTCAGCTAAATCTAGTCCCACAGGGATAAATGGTTTACAACAAAGGAAAAGTGTTTTCATAATCTGTACTTCTGTGTGATGCAAATTGGAAAGGGATAAATGTAATGTTTCTTTTCTTAAGTAGTGAAAGGAGCGCATGAATGTACTAATAGATGTGCCTGGAGGAAAGTCTGCCAGCTTGAGCCGGGCTGCTGCCATTTTCACCACTGTGGCCTCCCAGGCTGCCTGCCTCCGCAGCTCCCAGAAGAGCGGCAAAGGGCCAGGGATTTAGCGCAGTTAGCAGCACTGTATCTTATTCACAAGCACAAGGTTCTGAGTTCGATCCCCAGTACTGGGGGGGAAAAAAGAAGAAAATAAAAGGAGAGAGGCAAAGCTCTCTAGTTTGCTGGTGTGGAGCCAGAGGAGACGAAGTAAGTCAAGAAAAGCCTGTATCTTCTATCTCTACCAAAAATGACCTATTATGCCTTCAAGTCAAGCCCTTTATGTTGAAGAAGAAGTTGTTTCTTAACTTATCAAAGAGAAACTCAGTTCTTCTAAAGAATCTGAAATGAGCAGCCTGAGCTTCTATTTACATATATGTAAATGACTAATCAGGGAACAGACTTTCACTTAGTGCAGGCACACATTTAAAGAAAAAGTGGAAAGATGGTTAAGTCAGAGGCACTGGGCAGCAGAGATAAAAACTTGATTCTAAAAAGACAAGGACTGAAGAGATTTTCAGAAATATGATACTATAACATTTCCTCAGTTGTAAAGATACTTAATTTTCGGACAAGAGTGAAAATCCATGTATGTCTTCCACTTAAGGCTTCATGGATCCACTTACTAGGAGAATGATTAGAGGGAGGGGAAGAAAGCCTTCCTTGAGTTTTCCAGACTCTTCCTCACACTGTCTACGAGAGTGGGCAGCCAAAGTCACCAGGATTCAGGGATCAAGGGATGGGCAAGTGAGTGCACAGATCTAAGGGATTATCCTGTTGGTTCTTCTGATCCCTGGATTTCATTGGGTAAGCGATAATGACCAGCAAAGACCACTGAGCAGAGAAATAGCTTGATGTGAGCTGTGTTCTATAAAAACATACACTGGAAATAGTGTGGAAGAATGAATTGGATCAAGAAACGGATGGCAGCAGAGACCAGAGTCATGGTCTCTCATATACTTCAAGTGAGAGACGATGAGATTTTAAAGAACAGTGGCATCGACACTGACCCATCCATGACTACAGGCATGGTATCAAAAGCAGCCAAACACACCTCCCCATGACCGCAGACCACATCAGACCCATCTTGGTGGCCCGCGTGCCTATGTTGTCCTGGGACATCTTGTACACCTTCCTCATGAGTTCATATGTCATAAGAACATTTGCTTCCTATAGCTTTTAATGTGCATTCCTTGTCATAGGGGACTTCGGATACATATACAGTGTGAGCACAGCACTATTTCTTCACCCTTCTCATGAGCCAGCCCAGCAAATTCTTCTTTACTTCTTTCTATCACATTCAGTGTTCATTCACAAAGACATGTGTTCCACGGCACCCTGCCTGCCTCTTAAGCGCAAGGTCCTGAGTTTGATCCACAGTCCCTCAGACAAACTAACAATAAACAGATGTTCCAGGAAGAGACATGTGATGACAGTCCAGCAAAAAGCCTCTCTCTTTCAGGATGACTGAGGTCAGGAGGAGGCTCTACATAGCTGAGGCCAATGTAGAATCATTTAATAATAATAAGATAATTATTATAGCTTTGTATGCTGTACAAAACACTCATTTGTACCAGTATCTGGGCTCAATGTTTTAATACATATTTTGCCACTTAATCCTTACAACAATACTAAGAAGTTGGTACTGTTATCATTCATATTAAACAAAGAGAAAACTAAGGATCTAATAAAGTTCAAGAAAACTCCATAAAACTTCATAGCTAGTAGGTGGCAGAGCAGGGATTCATACCCAGGTCTGCTTACTTCTGAACTCTAGCTCAGTGCCCTTCAGCCATGAAGAACACCAGCACCTCATCATTTCCTGCACAGATGCTGATCTATTTCTGGTCCAGTCCTATGGTACTAGGTGAACCTAAACCAAACTGCAGGCATCTCTTCAAATCTAATTCAATATAGGAACACAAGCCTATCTCAACTCATGGAGGACTATCTTGGATTTAACCCAGCACTTAGGATCAGGGGCTTGAAGGAAGAGGATTTATCAAAGGATCCAGATTGGAGGAACTCTCACATACAGTGTAGCGTGGACCTAACATGGATCAGGGAGGAAAAGGATGGAATATAACCAGCACTTATAATGTCCTTCCTTCAAGGGTTGGTGACTAGACTTGTCCCAGTCACCTTGCAGGAAGGGACTCCTAGAATGCGGGTTCCAGTCACAAATTTATGACACTCACAGGACAGCAACCTTCCCAGACTTGAAAAGAGGCTCAGGTGAGATTTTGTGCTTGAATAGTAATGATCTATTAGCTCCAAGTGCATTAGCAGCCATATATGGGAAGGGAAGGGGCCTATCAGCCGTGGGTCTGTGATTCAATCCTGCACCTGCCACACTGAACTGTCAGTTAAAGAAGTCACTCGGTTCCAAATGCAGAAGCTACTCGTGATCATCACTTACTGTACATTACAAAGAACTCGAAGAAGTCTGATGGCATAGAAAAAGTAAACAAAAGATTAATATCCAACATTTATATGCAAGCAATACATCATTAATGATCATTATGGAGAACTTGCTTAGTTCAAATGAGGTTCCAGAAGACTGGAAGCGTTTCAGTGTAGCACCAGTATTTATAATAGCCACCCTGGGGAACAGCAAGCCCATCAACTTGACATAGTTAATATGCAAGGTAATGGAAATAAGTAGAGGTGAAACGGAACCACACGGACACTGAATTATCTTGGGAGCCAACTTCCATACAAATAATTAGAAACTGCCCCGTTTATTAGCAGAGTGGAGAGGACATTGCCTCTCACACCTTAGGTCACATTTTAACTTACCATTTAAAACTGGCATGCCATGTAACCCTGCTGCTTACAAACACAGCAAAGAACATTCACTGAAACTGACAGAGGACAAATGGTTTCTAAAGAAATTTGAGGAAGAAGTTGTTTACATGGTTAGGAAGCAGCAGGACACCAGAAAAGAAGTGGTCTGAATTTTAGTCCCTGTCACTGTGCAACATTTTTTTCATTCCCTTTTTAATTTCCTCAGCTGCAAAACATGGATAAGATTGCCTACCTATCTTCTAGTTGGTATGAAACTACTTTGTGGAATGTAAGGTAGGAGAGGGGCGTGCAAATGGCACCACTGCTGAGCAGCGCCTGGAGGACATTCAGTCACCCTGGGGATTTTGCCAGCTTGCGAGACAGTGTCTTCAGCTCTAGCCCATTGGTGCCTTGAAAAAACGCAGGACTGATGTCCCAGACGGGCCTTCCCACATTAGGGCAAAACTGCACAGAGCTGTTCTCTTACTTGATAAGAAATCTCTCAATTTTGAAAATGCAGCAACTGAAACAAAAGTTCCTGAAACTCTGTTTATGCAGCCTGCATCCTGTTCAGGGACAATTAGTCTCCAACCTTTCCCCAGTGGGTAATATGGTATAAGCACAATTAGGAATTTTATTAGTTGATAATAACAATAATTACTAACATTTATACAGTCATAGGATAGAATACTTACTGTGTTTCAAGTACTTGCTTTATTTTGCTGTGGAAATGAGGGTCCTCTCCCCCAGCTTTACTCAGGTATAATTGTCAAACAAAGATTACATATATTCAAGGTATACACCATGATGATTAGACGATGAGTATTTTGTTTTGTTTTTTGTTTATATGCTTGCACTGCTAGGATCAAACACAGAGCCTCGGGCATGCCAGATGAAGGCCAACCCAGGCAGGCATTCTTCTACGTGTCAGGCAAAATCATCCCAAAAGGCGCATTAGAAGGTAACTTTATAATTTTCATTTTTATATACATGGAAACTGAGTGAAATTACCCCTGGTTAAAATTATCTGAATTTTCTGGAAGTTCTGATTTCTTTTTTTAAATTATGGAAACCTTAATTTTAAAAAAATATTGAGAGTGGGCATGATGTAGAATACCTTCAGCTTCGAATTTCTGAACAAAATTCTTCACTGTGACCATTCCAAGGAAAGTTTTCTAACAGCACAATTAATTATGGATCTTTCTAGTAAATAAGTAAACAGAATTTGTCAAACATTTCTTTCAAAAAAAACTAATAGGTCATTTTTTTTTTATTTTATCAGGCAAAAGAGGGAGTGGGCAGAGAAGGCAATTTATTTTTCTGACTTACATATTAGAGTTAACTATGAGGCAGAGAAGATAAGCTACCCAATGCCAGTCCTGTGTCAACTTCAAATACAAGGTAACCGAGTCCAACGGGAGCAAAGCAATGCTTCATCTTCTTGTTATTGCCTCTTAAAGACTCCCCCAAGGTCTGCAATTCTGGGAAGTATTATCTAAAGGAGTCTTCAAGTTCAAACAAAATATTTCCAAGAACACAGAAAGAAGGGATTTTCTGGGAGCGAGCGGCACTCAGTCAAATGACCAGGTGAATGAATACCTAAATGATGAATGAACCTTGGCTTTACTTTCCCTTTCTCCTTCCCCTTAGTAGGTCTTTGTCAATATCTATGTTCATTTGCGTGACCACCAGAGAATATAACAAGGAATAGTTAAAATGCAGTGTTCTTCGTGGGTTAGTTTGTGGGTCATGTTTAGTGATTATCGGCAAAGCACTACCAAGGAAAGATGTGTATGATTACTTAAAACCTTCAAGGAATTAGAAACCTGCACTGTTTCCCAGTCCAGTTTTGTATTCCTATTCCTCCTAACACTCCTTCCCATCCTTCTGAATTCTCTGCCCAGTTGTTTCCAGCATTTTCTTGTTTCTTAGAGATGAAGGACTTCCAGGCAACAGAAGTAGTCAAAAATATCAAAAAGAGCCGACTACGAAGGTCATAGTGAAAGGAAGTCAGAAATGGACTCTTACCCAGGGTCAGTGTGCAGCACTTGGATGATTCCGGCACACATGCACGACGAACTTGGGCAGAAGAGGCAACAAAGTGGGAAGCCAGATGCCAAGGAGTCTGGCATCATCTCCTTGATCACGGTTTCAAGGCCTGCATCCTTCTCTTCTCATCACAGGCTGAAAGTTTCCCCCAAGGAACTGGGTGATTGGAAGAGGAAGTGTGTAACCTCTGAGGAAATCTGAAACAAAAGCAAAACAAGAAAAGCAATTTCTCTTTTCACTAAAAGAGCATTCATTCTGAGAAGCAGAGTTCTCCGAAAATGATGTTTCCTGGGCTTGTGCTAGGGAATTTGTCAGTGAATTCCCAGAAGCAACCACAAAAGAAGAATCCTGGGATCATGACTGCTTGTGGGAATTTTTAACAGTAACCATGATAAGGGAAATGACAACAATTTAAAAATTCCCAAGAATGGATTAAGCTAGGACAGAAGAGCAGTACTTTTCTAAAACACAACCAACACACTTCCCCTCCATATCCCTAAAAGCAGGATCGCTATACAGCTTGTGAGCCCAGAGATTTTTATGTTGCATTCAACTATGTGTTTATAGCACTTTGGGATGTGCTTAGCACTATGCTGGGAGCTTCTTTAATGGCCAGCAGTTAAAAGGGGAGACATTTAAGGAACTTCAGGTGTCAAAGAAATCATGGAGTTTTTAGGAAACTTGCAGCTTGTTGCAGGCCCAAAATTCACGCTCTGTGGAAAACTAGACTCAATTAAATTGGGGGTTGCTTTTCAGTTGCCAAATTTCATGCAACTTCCGATGGACTTGGAATGAGGAATAGAGAGGCAGCCCAGAGCAAAATGAGCTGAGTAGGGAAAGGGGAAAATAGATTTGGAATGTAAAAAGCAGGGCTCTTTGATGGGGCTGAAGAACTGACACATGGAAAATGTAATGCATTATTGACAAACACGTATGCTGGCTGCAAAAATAATTAACACAAGCAGAAAAGAAATAGGAATGAAATGGAGCAGAAAGACTTTGAAAGATTGTGAAGTAGCCGCTGAAATTGCCAAGCTAATGTCAGAGAGATGATTAAAATTTTCCAATAGAACAGGTGACTAGGTACTTAGGAGAGTGTGATGTAAACCAAGAGAGAGTGGATCATTCTATGAATCTGCACAGAGGTACTAATCAGCATTTTATGTGCAACTTTGCAGTACACATTATAGCAGATGGAAGAAGCTCTTAAAAGCTGAGAGCTAAACAGAGTCTCACTGCCTTTCTGTTCCATAACAGCCATCCCTGGAATGGGTACTTGTTCCAAGTGAGCACTGTGCAACCAGTTCCCACAACAGAGTCCCAGAAATATCAATATGCTCACAAAGTACGGATATCTGCAGATCCCTCAGACCAAGGAAGAGGAATGGGAAAGAAAGAGGTGTTTAAGTCCCTAAATGAGGGTGAATGGATGGGCGGCCTAATCAGACAAGCTGAAGCCTCAGCAGTCAGATCTCAAAGTGAAGGTCAAGGGGCAGCAAGGATAAATTCTTCTGCGGGCCAGACTCAGGCATGCACGCTCATATTCTTGCAGAAACTGTATTGCTGCAATAACAAAAACAATTAGACTATGGATTGTGGCTATGTTAAAAGAGAATAATTCTTCATGATCAGAATGGCTTTTTCGCTCATTCAACAGAAAAAGACTCTTATTTTTTATTTGTTGGCAAAGCCAAATTAGAAAAAATATATATCTTTACGACCTTAGGAGACAAATGAGTGATACCAAATATCACTGAAAATGCTATTAATCTACAGTGATATAAAATTACCATCTCAGCACAAAGAAAGCCTATATAATCTGAATTTCTCTAACATCATAAAAACGAATGAGAAGCGAAATTGAAAGTAAGTATGCTTTTGAGATGCCGTTAAGAGTTACATGCATTGTTAACAAATGTGGGTAGACAAAGCAGTGATTTACCTTGAGTAACAAATTCATAGAAACGCAGACAGTTTCCAAAGGGGACCAACTCTTTGCCCTATGAGTGGGTTGACGACACCTTTGAGGGTGTTACTCCCTTCTTAGATATTTAAGCGTAGCTAATTAGTCACTGACTTTTATGAATTATTTCTCCCTGCTTTCAGTTGCTCATTTTCTGTATATTTAAGAAGCCAGAAGTACCTGAAAGGAGGGTAAGGGTATGGCAAGGAAGAGGATAGAGATCAGGATTTTCTTCTGCATATACAGGAGCAGCCTGGGTGACCTCACTGGATGACCAGTGAGGAACACAGAGAGCCACTGGCTCCATCATGAGGGGCCCTTCCCCAATCTGAGTAGGATGCACACTTGTTAGTCTCCCATCATCTCAGGTTAGTCCAAGGCAGAGGAACCTCAGCCTGCTTCCAGGCCATTTGCCCAAGCCACTGGAAGAGCTGGAAGAGGAAGACAGCAGAAGCAGGGGACAGTAGCACCAGGCTGTTGAGAGGGTGGGAAAACAATAAGGACGTGGAGGGGGAAGGGATAAGTAGGTAAAAAGGCAGAGAAATAGGAGGGAAATGATTGTTTCCATTTCTTCTTCCATATTTAAAAAAAAAGAAAGAAAAAGGAACCCATCACCGCTGCTAATATCCACACAGAAGAAATTTAAAAATACACATGTTGCAGTTTTCAAGTTGTCTCAAGGATGTTATGGGGACAGTATATTTAAAATGGTAAAAGTTTTACCAAGTGTCACCAGTAATCTCTGAAAATTTGCTGCTAATCAGTGAAAAATGCAAGGGTTCATTGCTGGTTTTCTTTGGCACAGATTGCATGATAGGTATTATAATACTACATTCAATACATTCCCAAAGGATGAGCAGGGGCTCTTCCTTAGAATCCCCTTTTACTGAGCAGTGCAGTTTCCTGCCCATGGGCACATATTTAGATCAAAGTTAATCTGGAAATAAAATTGAAGTCTCATCCAGTCCGTTGTTCTTTCCGTGAAACGGAACCACACACTAGGCAGCAGCCGCACGGACACAAGAGATGCTGGGATCTCAGGATGACCCCAAGGATAAATCCAGCTTTGTGCGATCTAATCCTTAAACTTGGGGGGAATTATTAAGACTAGTTCAAAAAGACAAATACAAATTCAGGCATTAATGGGAATATGTATTTTGAATGAATAAAGAAATGTCAGTATCATCAACTTTATAAAACTGTCACATATTATAACTTCGAAAAACCCCAGGAAAATCAGATTATGTTTTTAGTAACTAATTGTCTCTTACAGTTCTATAAAGCTGGTTTCCTCACCTTTTTCCTTCCATATGCTTTGACTGCCTCTTTATATAGTAATGATTTTATGATATTTCCTAGAGAGAGGATAGGTGAATAATTCAGGCTTTCGTGTAGTGTGGTTGATCAAACTGTGGTAATTGATGAAAAAGTGACTTTTCACATTAGCCTTTTATTGGCAATGTCAATATCTATAAATTCCTCTGCAGTTTCCCGCTCTAGGTCAAAGCTTTTGGAGACTGCCAGCCCTCTGATCCCATGGGGCAACTCCTCGTGCTACCCTGGGCCTGTTCGTCAAGGCCTCATCCTGGTGTCAGAGGGCTCTGAATCAGGAGGCAGAGCCGCAATGAGTACGGCCTGATTCAGACCCCTTGTCCTTAAAGCACAGGATGCCCCGGTGGTTTGTCAGAAGGCACTCAGTAGTGTTGGGTGAATCGAGAGGATTTTTAGAGCCCACCAGTCTAGCCAGCAGCCCCAGCACCACCATAGGCAAGGACAGTGACACTCCCAGGATGAGTCCATGTTCTCAGTCCAGGCTGCTTTCTCCTGCAGATGACACCTGAGCCTTAAAAAACACCTCGAATTTCAAATTCCTCTAGCTTTCCTGTGGACCCACCTTTTTAGTTGGCTCTGGACAAATTATGAAACAGAAGGTTCACTTTTAGGATCGCCCTTTGCTGTGGCTTGAATCTAATGTCCCCCAGAAAGCCTCATATGGTCATAGGTGCAGAGCTTCAAAGGTTAGGGTGTTAGGGTTAGGGTGTGTGAATGTGGATTAAGGGTGTGATGCTAGGATGGAAGAGAATGGACAATGGAAGCCCTGTCCTGGGTGTAGGCAGCACCAATCAATAGGCTTACAGCCTGGATGGAATAGAAAGGGGGAGAGGGAAGGCAGGCTTACTCCTGCTCATTGTTGCTTTGTCGTCTTCTGCCTGCTTTCCACAGACTGTTTCTCCTCTGCAGTACCTGGCTGCCATGCCACCCTGCCTTGGAGCCAGCCAGCCTATGGACTGAAACCTCCTCAAATGGAAGCTGAAATAAACCTTTCCTCCTTTAACTTTGCATGTTGCATATTTTGTCTCAACAACAAGAAAAGTAACTAAAATACCCTTTAAGCACCCTTCCTGTTCTTAGAATGAAACTGCAGAGGAAATTCACAAATAGAGAACTTACATAAGAGTGACGTTCAATGAAACTTTTCCAATCTATCAACAATCAATTATTAAATTTTTATAAATCCTTTTGTAGGAAAGACTGGATGATCTTTTTATGTTCTTTGTGGTAAGTTACAAAACTGTCACATGAAGAGTCGACCAAAGAGTATGCAGCTAAAAATCATAAAAGAAGAATTGTAGTGGAATGGCCTCTTACTGACCCCAGAAGCCAGAGGAGATATCCAACTTCTGTAGGACTTGCTCTTGGTTTCCAAGTGGAGCTCAGGAGGTAATATTTCCATATGAATAAATGCCTAGAAACTGGTTAAACTGTTCCATACCTAGGATGAATGGATTTAGAATAGAAATCTTTAAAATAAAATGCCCAAGATTTTAAAGACTCTAGGTCTAACTGTGGGGCATAGTGGAGCCAGTAGGGAAAAAATGCTGTGACTTTGGACAAATTTCCTTTAACTAAAGCAAGAGTTGTATTATACCATGTGTACAGCCATGTGCAGAACCGAATCCCCTGATCTCAGCTAGCCAACGGCAGGTCACTGGTCATTCGAGAGATGCAGATGAAAACAACACTGAGATTCCACCTCACCCCACAAAGAATGGCTGCTATCAAGAAATCAACCAATAACAAATGTTGGCGGGGTTGTGGGGAGAAAGGAACCCTTCTCCATTGTTGGTGGGATTGCAAACTGGTGCAACCACTATGAAAGTCAATATGGAGATACCTCAAAGAACTAGGATTAGAGGTTCCATTTGACCCAGCCATCCCTCTGCTGGGTATCTTTCCAAAAGAACTAAAAGAATCATATCACAGTGATGTATGTGCACCCATGTTTATAGCGGCACAGTTTGTAATAGCTAAAACTTGGAAACAGCCCATTTGTCCACCTGTTGGACACTGGATAAAGATGTGGTTTTTCTATAAAATGGAATACTACTCAGCCATAAAGAATGAGAAATTAG